ACTGATAAAAAATCTTCCACAACCCAAGTGCATAAAGGATAAGCACAGCAATACAAAAAACTTAACCCCTGTGGATCTCCTGCCTGGAACTCCACCCCTGCCAAAAATAAAGGCCTAAGGCGAAAGTGGTTGATTCCATTTCCAGGCACAAGCGCCACTTACTGCTCTCTCTACCATCCTACACCCCTTTGCCATCAGCCCCCAACCCTCAGTCCTAGGCAACTGCTAATCTGTTTTCTATCACTACACACCAGGGATTTTTCAACCAGCGTGCTGCAAGAATTTGTAAAACACGCAATGTCCCTATTTAGTCAGGTGCACTAACCTCTTATCCCTTTGACTATGAGATTCTTTTTCTTTAAATGACAGCAGCCAACACAACAATAGCCATCTGATATAACAGCCCTGTCTTGAATCAAATATATAGGTGCTATAGAGTTACACCTTATTGGTCATGTTGCATAATAACGTTACATCTGATTGGTACCAGAAATCCTCAGTTACAAGTATAGACACCTGATTTTTTTTTTAAAGGCACTTGGAGAAAAAAGGGTAGGTAATTACTATTTTTTAAATCAATCAAAATTATACCTATTTTTTGGTCACATTGGCAAAAAATATGTTTTTGGTGTACCACAATATTTTAATAGTGTTTGTGTGTGCCATGAGTTTAAAGATAAATGAAAATTGCTCCTATAGACCATATGTGATTACCTTTAAAACATTTTTATTTTTAAATATAACATATAAAGAGAAAAGTGTATACAACACATGTATGTACAGCTTACTGAATTACTAACATGTTTGTTTGTTTTTTAAAATTATGTACTGGATTAAATAGTGTCTCCTGAATATGCATGTCCACTCAGAACCTGTGAATGTGACCATATTTGAAAATAGAGTCTTGGCAGAAGATGGGGTCATACTAGATTAGAGTGGGCACTAAATACCATGACTAAGCACCCTTATTTTATAAGGGGGTTGGAAGGGGGGCAGGACTTGGGCACAGAAACACAGGGAAGAACGCCATGTGATGACTGAGCCAAAGGCTGGATTTATACCAAAGATTGCTGGCAGCTACAAAAAGTTAGGACAGAAGCAAAGCACAGATTCTTCCTGAGGACCCCCATGAAAAAACCAAGGCTGCCTTGGTTTCAGACTTTTAGCCTCCTGAACATTGAGAGAATAAATTTCTGTTGTTTAACCCACCCAGTTTGTGATACTTTGTTACTAGAGCCCTAGCAAACAAGTGCAAATCTCATAAAACTGGAAACAAACTAAGTATCTACAGAAATAAAATTGGTACACAGTGGCATTTTCTTCAAAAAAGTATCATTTGGGCGATACATAAAACAACAGGGTTGACTCTACTAAGCGTAATATTGAGAAAAGAAACTAGGTACAGAAATATCCTGAAACACATGATACCACTGATTTAAAGTTTTAAAAAAGGCAAATTATTTTCTCCCCTTTCATTTCTGATTTTATTTATTTGGGACCTTTCTCTTTTTCTCTTGATGAGTCTGGTTGCAGATTTGTCAATCCTGTTTATCTTTTCAAAGAACCAGCTCTTGGATTCATTTAACTTTTGTATCACCTTTTTAGATGCTATTTCATTTATTTCTGCTCTGATCTTTATTACTTCCTTCTACTAATTTTGAGCTTTGTTCATTGTTCTTTTTCAAGTTTCTTTTAGTGTGAAGTTAAATTATTTGAGCTTTTTCTTGTTTTTTTGAGATAGGCCCATAATGCTATGACTTTCCCTCTTAGGACTGCTTTCCCAGTGTCCCACAGATTTTGGATTATTGTGTTCTCATTTTCATTTGTTTCAAAGTATCTTTTGATTTCTTCCTTGATCCCACTGTTGACCCACTCATTGTTTAGTAACATCTTATTTAACTTCTATGTCTTTGAGTGTTTTTCTGTGTTGTTCTTGCGATTGATTTCTAGTTTCATAGCATTGCAGTCAGAAAAGATGTTGATATGATTTCAATCTTCTTAAATTTTTGAGACATGTTTTTGTTTCCCAACATGTGGTCTATCCATGTGCACTTGAAAAAAATATATATTCTGCTGCTTTAGGGTAAAATGCTCTGAAAATGTCAATTAAATCCATTTGATCTAGTGTCTCATTTAAGGCTGCTGTCTCCTTGTTGATTTTCCGCCTGGAAGATCTATCCATTTAAGTCAGTGGGGTAGTAAAATCCCCAACAATGACTGTATTTCTGTCGATCTCTCTCCCTTTATGTCAATCAAGATTTATGATATGCTTTACATATTAAGGTGCTCCCATGTTGGGTGTATAAATGTTTATAGGGTTATATCCTCTTTTTGGATTGTTCCCTTTATCATTAGGTAGCATCCTTCTTTGTCTCTTACTATAGCCTTGGTTTTAAAGTCTTTTTTGTCAGATATAAGTACTGTTTCCCCAGCTTTTTTTTTTTCTTTTCCATTTGCATGAAATATTTTTCCATCCCTTTACTTTTAGTCTGTGTGTATCTTTCAATCTAAGCTGGATCTCCTGGAGGCAGCACATATATGGGTCTTGTTTTCTTATCCTTGTTTTCTTATGGGTCAGATCATTTAAGCCATTTACATCTAAGGCAATTATTAACAGATGCAGATACATATGTAATCCCATTTTATTGTTAGACTGTTTTCCTCAGGTTTTCTTTTTCTTTTTTATTCTTCTCCTTCTTAAGGCAAGCCCTTTAACATTTATTACAGTACTGGCTTGGTATTAACAAACTCCGTTAGCTTTTTCTTGTCTGGGAAGCTCCTTATTTTTCCTTCAATTTTAAATAGTAGCCTTGCTGGGTAAAGTAACCTTGGTTGTAGGTCCTTGCTTTTCATCACTTGAATAGTTCATGCCACTCTCTTCCAGCCTGAAATATTTCTGTTGAATAATCAGATGCCAGTCTAATTGGTGGTCCCTTGTAGGTAACTACCTGCTTTTCTCTTGTGGTTGTTGGGATTCTCTCCTTATCTTTAAACCTTGTCATTTTAATTATGATGTGTCTCAGTGTAGATCTCACTGGGTCCAATTTGTTTGGGACTCTCTGAGCTTCCCAGACTTGTGTGTCTTTTTCCTTCACCAGTTAGGGAAGTTTTTGGTCATTATATCTTCAAATAAGTTCTTGATTCCTTGCTAGCACTCTTTTCATTCTGCTATTTGCATGTTGCAGATGTTGTTTTGCTTCATGTTGCCCAAAATGTTCAGGTCTCCTCATTTTTTTAAAATTCTTTTTTCTTTTTGCTGCTCTGCATTGGTGTTTTTTTCTAAGTTGTCTTCCAAAACACCTATTCAATCCTCTGCTTCATGTACCTACTCTTTATTCCCTATAGTGTATTATTTATTTCAGACATTGCATTCTTTATTTCTGACTGATCATTTTTTATGGTTTCTATGTCTTGCTGTTGTGTATCCTTATAATCATGATGCTAAACTATCTGATAAATTGCTTTCCTCCATTTCATCTAGTTCTTCTTCTGGGGAACTCTCTTGTTCTTTCATTTGGGTTTCTTTGTCTTCCCATTTTGGCTGCTTCTTTGTATTTTCCACCTTACCTGTTAAACTGATCAGTTGTTCATCTAATCAAACTGTAGCCAGCAGCCCAGCCTAAGCTGCACAGGGTGGGGCAGAGTAATTCCTGTGGGCCGGGCTCTTACTTCACCTCAGGCTGATGCCACCTGGAGAGGAGTGCTTTGGCTGAGAAAGGTGGCTTCTGCAGTGTGGGGAATGACTGAGCACAGTGATCCTGGTAGCTGTTCCTTCAGTTCTCTCCCCAGAGCCAGCAGCCTATGACTCTCTTCAATCATCTCTAGTCCACTCTGTCCTCCCTTTGCCAGAACCCAGGATAAGCATCTACAAGTGAAATTTAGTGTATTGGCCCTTTCAGAGGATCTCTGTGTCTCCAGTTATCTATCCCTGGCAGACAGAAATCCCTTTCACAGCTGAATGTTATCTGGGTTCCTTTCGAGCTCTGGTTTTGTAGGCTGGGGAGCCCAGCTTAGGGCTAAGACCCTACATTTCCCAGGGGGAAACCCCATGACTACTGAAATATCCCTCTGGAACTTCAAATGTTGCTCATGGGAGCTCAGCCAACCCTCTTGTGCCTCCTCCACATTCCCTTCAAGTCTTGTTGTGGTGAAGTGGTTTCTTCTGTCTGTCCTTGGTTATGAAGTTTCTCTCCAACTAGTGTCCAGTTGGTTATTCTGAATTACTTCTCTATAATTTAGTTGTAATTCCAGATTGGTTCTGGGGGGAGGTTAGTGCAGCTTCCACTTACTCCTTTGCCACCTTGGATCCTTCAGATTTCTGTTTTATAATAACTTGTTCAACTATGTTTCTGTTCTATGTACCTTCCTCTATGTGTACTTATAGTTTACAATTTAAATTTTTTAAAAAAAGGAAAGTGGGGAGAAAATCAAGCCACCAGCTAGTTAAAGCACCAATGCCTTCCTGAGATCTTTATGGAAACTAAAGAGGTATGTCCTTAAAGTCAACAGCTGCAGGGGCAGCCACTTGATTTGTCAACCTTGTAACTGGTAGGGATGGCTGTTCTAGAAGTCAGGTTGGTGGTAGAATTCTGAGAGTCATTACGGGAAGCTCAGTTTAGGTACCCTTCCTTCCATAATCCCTTCCAACGATTAATCCCTTTCTACTTATAATATCTAGAGTAGTTTCTCTTAAGAGCACATGAACCCTAATGAATGGTGTTCATCGAGAGAAGTTCAAGAAAAAAAGCAAAGTAGAATTCCCCATATGAAGTATTAATAGTAATCATAATGAAGAGCTAGCTCCTGACCATCAAATTAACTTGACACTTATCTGTCATTCTTAACAGATGTCTTATCAAAGCATAAAAACTAAGTCTTTATTTAATACTTTCTAAAGTTGATTTTTGACTTTTTTATAAAACACAAAAGGGCATTGGTGAGGAAGAGTTAAGTGTAGAGGCATGGAGGGAAATAAAAAACTGAGCTTTTTTTTTTTTTACCTGGAGTCTTGTATTCATTTCCAGGAAATAAAAATTTTTCTTTGAGTCCACAAGGAATTCTACAGTTCCAGCAGAAGAGTACTTTACTGCTTTGGCAAGAGCTACAGCTTGTTCTCCCATGGCTCTTCGAGTCATAGAATCCAGAAAAATGCTACAAGTATAGAAAGAGTATGCATTTTCAACAAAAATCAAAGTATCTTTTGTGTGCATTATATAAAAAATGTTCTTAAAGTTTATTCAGATATGATCATCTGTATCAGTTTAAGATTTCATATTATATGCTTTACAAATAATATATCCTTATTGTGTTATTACACATGTTTAAATAAGTCAACTTCAGATTTTCATAAAACATTTGAACTTTCCACATTTTATTGCAACTTATAAAATATACCACTACTGCAGCTCAGTAGTTTTCAATTAATACAATTTAAAATACATATTCAGAATCACTTCAAGCTAAAATTGGGAGAAAAATAAATTCTTGGAATCTAACATATATGATTGATCCTTATTATTTATAGATTTCATATTTATCAATATGTATTTCCTAATATTTGTAACCTCAAAATTAATACTCACAGCACTTTTGTGGTCATTCACACACAAGCTAAGAGCAGCAAAAATAATTCAGACCACCCCCAACAACATGAGTGTTCCCAGCTGAGATCAAACAAGGTGACTGCTTTCTTGTTTCACCTCTCATAGTGGAAACAACTGTCCTTTTCACAGTTTGCTTAGTGCTACATTCTTATTTTTCTGGGGCGGGGGGGGGGGGCAGTGGGGAGGGATGATTTTGCTGCTTAAAATGGCCCTTGAATGTTGTGCTGAAGTACAATCTAGTATTCCTACGCACAAGAAGGCAACAATGTGCCTTATGGAGAAAACGTGTAATTACTGAGCTTCCTTCAGGAACACATTATAGAGCTGGGGCCAGGACTGTAAGTTCAATGTTAATGAATCAACAATATCTATTAAACAAAGTGTCTTTCAACAAAAGCACATATAAAACAAAGTTATGTATTTACCAGTTGGTTAAATGTTCTAAAGAGAGGCTCGAACCTAACCCTGTCTTTCCCCTAGAAGCAATGCTTCAGTATTCACTGATTCAGTGATTCCAGTGACTTTATGGAACGTAACTACCACAAATAACAAGATTTGACTGTACAGCTAATAAATCCTCAAAACTTTTGTTTTGCAATATGAAAATCACATTCTAGCAGGAAAGTAAAACCAAAAGTTTTTAATAAACCCTGAAAAAAAAATTATCGAATAATTTCTGCATTTTCGCACATCTTGCTTCTAATGCAAGTAGGTTCTAAAATACAAAACACTGACTTCTATTTGTGGATTAAGATGGTCTCAACTTCACTTGGGATATGAACACAGTACAATATTCAGATGGCATATAACAGAACTATGCACCTGAATCCTACATAATTTAATTAACCAATGTCACCCCAATGAATTTAATTTGCTTAAATTGTTCTCAAATGAGTAAAATTAAGATGACATTTTTGCCCTGGCTGGTGTGGCTCAGTGAGTTAGCTGTCATCCCACAAACCAAAAAGTCACCAGCTCAATTCCTAGTCCAGGCACATGGCTGGGTTGCTGGCCAGGTCCCCGCTTCAGGGCATATTGAGAGGCAACCAATTGGACATTGATATTTCTCTCCCTCTCTCACGCTCTCCCTCCCTTCCCCTCTCTCTAAAAATAAATTAAAAAATCTTTTTTTAAAAAATAACATTTTATAAAATTTTTATTATGGAATAGTATGATTTATTTGAATTTACCTGATTTTCATATGTAATAACTGCTCTTGTTTCATGTATGCTGCATATCCACTTTTCTACCAGATCAACCCATTTATTTTTAGCAAATCCCAAATTAGATATTGTCTTACCCATAAAGACTTCCATAACTGATTCTATTAGTACTTTTTCGTAACAAAACCACACTTCAAAAATTAATAAAAACTCCTTTATAGTATTTAATATCTATTTAATATTCAAATTTCCCTGATTATCTCATTAATATCTTTTTACAGCTAACTTTTGAATCAGTTTCCAAATAAAGCCCAATCACTACATTCGATTGGTTTTTAAATCCTTAAGATTGTCTTAACTTGTAATGCTCTCTTTCCTTTTCGTTCTTTTTAAACCAAGATCTGGCTGTCTCATTCTTCATATTCTGGTATCAACTGCATGCAACCCCACAGTGTCTTTTAACATTTGTATTATATGCCTGTTTTTTAAAAACTGCTGGTTAAATCTAGAGCCTTGAATACAGTCAGGATGGATTCATGGGGGCAAACATGAGGCAAGAATACGTCACAGGTGTGAAGTATACCACTGCTTTCCCTTTTGGTGACATTCGGATTAATTATTGGATTCAGATGTTATGAAACCTTATTTGCCTATTAGAAATAATTATGCATCAACCTAAAAGATATAGGCATAGATGACATTTCAACAATAACTGGCTGATAAAATTAGTGCAACCAAAAGAAAGAAACCCCGCTAAAGATGAATATGATAGCATTTGAAGAATCTCAAGTACAGTTGAGTAAAACTATTTTTGTCCTACCTGGTCTTCTCTTTTTCCTTATAAACTCTGGTAGTGATACACAGACCTATAATTAACCTCATCACTACACTCAAAGCAAAGTGGTAAATTCTCATTATAGGAACTAAAAACTACATGTTCCAATTACATTAATATTTCACAATACACAGATACGTATCAACTCATTATTAACGATCAATTCTAGGGTTTTTTTTAATTTGACTCCCACTGCTTTAAATTTTCCTCCTTTTTTTCCTCTAAATAGATTGTGTGTTCATTTGAAAAATACTGTGTGTGTGTGTGTGTGTGTGTGTGTGTGTGTGTGTGTGTGTGAGAGAGAGAGAGAGAGAGAGACAGAGAGACAGAGAGACAGAGAGACAGAGAGAGAGAGCACAGGCGAGCGCACATGGGGTGGGGAAGATGGAGAGGGGGAGTAAGAGAGAGACAATAAACAAAAATCATGACTCAAGGTTTTAAGTCTATGAAAGATTTTTATCATCCCAGGTAAGACTTGAGTGAGTTTTGAATAAAAAGAGAAAGTTAATTATATCGGAAGTAATACAGAAAACACAAAATTCCAAAATAAAATGAAGTGTCATACGCTTTCTACCAGCATCCATTGTTCCCTTCTTCCATATGACTAGAATTTCAGCTAAGCACTGTTATTTCCCGGCTTCCCTAGCAAAGTGCCTATCATCAGATCACTGCCAAACAATCAACACAAGCATGTTCTAGGAACCTTCCTAAAGACACAAGTCATTCCCTTTGCTTTTTCTCCCTTCGTCCTCTTCTCCCTCCTTTTCTTCCTTCCTTCCTTCCTTCCTTCCTTTCTTCCTTTCCTTCCTTCCTTCCTTCCTTCCTTCCTTCCTTCCTTCTTACATGCTGGTCCTGGGCTATCAGTTAGAGCCTCAGCCCAGGTGGAGCTCACCCCATGTAAGCTACAGTGGATTACTCTTCACAGCATGGTGACTGGTTTTTAAGTGTGGCGTCCCAAGAGACAAGAAGTAGAAGCTGGCAGTTTCATAAGGTCTAGGAACAGCCTCATGTTTATGTAGTCTATTGGTCAAGTAGTCACAGAGCATAGAATCAAGAGGAGGGAACATAGATGCCTCCTCTAACACCTCAATGAGAGAAGTAGCAGAGTTTGGGGACTGCATTTTTAAACACTACACTATATGGAGCATGGATGCCTGGACTCCAAGATGGCGTCAGTAGTACCATTGAAAGAGAAGAAATTAATGGATGTCCTAATAGGGGAGCTTCCAAGCTGGATACTGATGTGGGATTTCACCCTTAAAGTCATTGCTGGAGTGTTTCAAAGGTGTTACTACTGGTATTACAATAAGTATGTCAATGTGATGAACAGGAGCTTTGCTGGCATCTCTATGGAGCCAGCAGCTTATGTGCTTTTCAACTACTGCTGTTATTATGAGGAACTCACACATAAACTGTGACACAAGTAACCACTGAAGAGGGCCCAGTGTGGACTCCACATTCCTGACCATGACCTTTGCACAGCACCTCTGAATCCTTTTAACACCTAATAAAAGACGGTTGATAAAAAATAAAAATTAAAAATAATGAAATACTACACCATATTTTAACAAATAACATAAAGTGAAATTTCATTTTGACCACTACTCTGTGATTAAAAATTCATTCATATTCACAACTACTCTTTTCAGAAACTATTCACACAATATATCAAGGCACAATAACTAGGCTGATGAAAGTCATAAGTGGCTGTATTCCTTAGGGCCTGATTACTAAAAATAACAATGTACACTCAACTGGGTATTTTTAAGAAATAAGAGAAAACCAGAATATCTAAAAATACCAACCTAGCATCAAATTAAAAATGAAGTCCCATGAAAGGAACCTCAAACATATAAGAGATGGCTTGGAGAGGTGCTCCTGAAGTAGTTCTGATAAATTAAGGAATATCTAAAACCATGCCCAGAAACCTTTTCATAGTAGGACAAATTCAGGAAATTCAGGATCAACTTTATGATACCATCATCAATAGGAAAGCCTAAAAGGCATGTATCCCAGAAATTCCACATGCCTAGAAACACCCTCAGCATCCATGTTACCTAGAAGCTTGTTGGCTTCATAGTGGTTATCCACCCAACTTTTGCTCTAATAAAGCCCCAATTTATTTTTCAGGCATTCTCTCATTTTCATGCAGTGAAGTACTGAGGAAGATCAAGTGGAAAATTCTTAATTATAAAAATATAGGTTTTACCATGACTATTAAAGCAAGTTCAGCCAATAAAATGGAAAAGAAGTGCATAAAAGCAAACTGTTACAAATGTTCATCAGGAGAAACTCTTACCTTGGTGCTTCTTCTATCACCTTCTGATTCCTTCGCTGAATTGAGCACTCTCTTTCGTTGAGCCACAAAGCATTCCCATGTTTATCACCTAAAACCTGAAACAGCAATACCATTTCAAAAATTATATAGCCATATCCATAGAGCATGTGCCCACTTAACATTTTCCCCATGTAATACCCTTGGTTTTTAATACTCAGACCTCATAGAACATATTCATTCCTCTTTTGGTTGATGTTAATAGAGAAAAACGTTATATTTACAACCCCAAAACTCAAAACATTTTTATCACAAAGGCTTGAAATAAAAAAAATTCTCATGTTACATTTTGAATATACTGGGTAAAATATCAGCATCAATTGTACAAATTTTGTAACCTAAATGTCCATGGCGCTTATTAGGAGAGTCATGGGTCTCACTACAAAACATCTATTGTTAATATTATTAAACATCTGTTTACCAGGAAATACTTTTTTATTTACATTCAATACATACTCCATCACTTACATATAGATGCCTTTATTGTGCTTTATTTTTGGTATAGGAAACTAGTAAAAAGTCTGGGGTTAATATATAAAAATACATGAGGATTTTTCCCACTTGTAATAATGGGAAATAAGCTGTAGTTACCAGATAAAATAGCAGAATACCCAGGGAATTTTGAATTTCTGACAAACAATAAAAAAATTAATAAAAATGTGCCCCAAATACTGCATGAGACATATTTTTGCTTTTTTTAAAATAAAAACCACTGTTTATCAGAAATTCAAATTTAACATGTCTTATCTGCTAAATCTGACAACTCTACAACAGGCTCTTTGTTAATGTTTTTTACATAGAATGTTTGATTTTCAGGAATGGGTTAATCTATTTTCAGGATTAAAGAGTAAATGCTTGTTACTGAATGCATATATTAAGTTCACAGAAATAAAGGCTGCTCTAGAAACCAGAACACTAGGTACTAATTTTAGTTCTAAACAACTATGCAATCTCCCTGGGTAAGTCATTCTGTTTCCTTGTGCATTATAAATAGTGCCTAATATAATCTTAATATTTTATATGGATACTGAAAAAATAAAAATAAGAATAGATCATCATTGGCCCTAGCCAGGGTATCTCAGTTGGTTAGAGCATCATCCCAATACGCCAAGGTTGCAGGGTCAATTTCCAGTCAGGGCACTTACAAGAATCAACCAATGAATGCATAAATAAGTAAAACAACAAATCTCTCTCTCTCTCTCAGTAAGTAAATTTTTTAAAAGACCATAGCTATAACAGATATAGTAAGCTATAAAGTGAGTAGTTAATATGACTACAAAGTTAATTTTTAGGAATAAAAATTAACCTATCTAAAGCTCATCAATGATTTCAAGGAAAATATTAGAGTAATAAAATGTCAATGAGGTAAAATTTTATTTCTATGACTCTTAAAGATGGTTGCATTAAGTATATCTAAAAATATATTAAATCATTGTAACTCTAAACCTCTTTTTTTATTCTAGTTGAAAAGATACTAAAAATAGACTTCGTCTCTAAGAAATAAAGCCACAGTAACCAGGAATTCTCAGAAATATTTCCAACTGTAAAATATAAAATTCACATATAGAATGTAGAGGTTTTTTTTCTCTAAATTCTGCAGTCTCCTAGTTCTTTTTAAAACTTTTTTCATTTACTAGGCAATCAACAAAAATAATGTGACAATGATTTACTACATTAAATAAATGAAGAGAATAGTAAACAGACAACATTGTAATAAAAAGTGTTTAAAAAGGAATTTAATCCTTATGTGCATGTAGGTATTAAAAAAAAATTTAATACAGTCCTTTAAAGATACACGTGTACTCGATATGAAAAAATCTTTCAGGTATATTGCTTACTGAAAAAAGCCTCACAACAGACTGTTGTACATAATGTAAAGAACTTTAGAATCCCTGAATCCAGCATAGAAGATGGCAGTAGTGCCCTGGTTGAGAAACTGTGTGGCTTAAACAGAGTAGTGCCTTTTGAATTGCCTGTGCACAGTTCAGCCCAAGAAAGGATACAGTATTTGTGATCTCAAGTTAAAAATAACAGGTGACATATACATAGGTTCTTCATTGACTATGGCAGGATATTCAAGACATAGTAACAGTCCCTGCTTCTAGGGATAGAAACCAGGAAACTTGGAGACAAGGGTGAAAGGTATGCTTAATTTTCATTGAACTCTCTTTATCCTATGCACAAATTATTCAAAAATAAGTAACTAAAAAACTTTCAAATGTAGATCAGTAGGGAAACATCTCTGTTGGCTATTTCAGCCCCTGGAAGACACCCTCACCTATATTTAAAAGTATCACCTAGACTACATGCCATGGCTAATTAAAATAAATGGATATAAATATATAATTACTTAACATAATTTAACAAATATTTATTGAATATGAGTAATATGAAAGGCACTGGTCTGTTTGCTGGGGACAGCAAGTGAATAAGACTAGTCTACCCTCAAGAACTTCAATTTAATCAATTTCATCTAACTTTAATCAATTTAGTTACTACATATCAATTCATAGCCATAATGTGTAATATTAGCACAAAGACATTTCTAACAGAAAAATGAAAACTTCAGCAAACTTGTCTTTTTCTTTTTTGTTTTATTTAAAAAAACCCATTTTGTTTTGCTGAAATTACACCTCACAACCATTTTTAACAGCTACATTAGAATTTCATTCTGAGTAGAAAAAAGTAATTTCCTCATCTCTATACAACTAACTTCTAGCAGAATGCCTGTTATAGTGAACCACATAGACATATAGTAAGCTAAAATAAAGAGTCCAGGTCAAGCACTTCTCTTTTAAAAATGCCCTAAAATGACTATATCTCTGAAGATTAAATGAGTATCTAGGTGGAATATACTTAGCCTGTCCCGGCATCTCAGGACTGCTTCTTTCTGGAACTGAGATTTTATCTCATTCCCGATCCCGACGTTCTGGCACTTTGACAAAAAGCATACCAGATCCCAAAGGTGGGTTATCAATTGATGCACATTCTGTATTTTGTACTTAATTCCAACATATCAGAACAATTAGTCACTCTAAATGGAAGAAAGGCTGTTTCCAATATAAATAATGACACAATTTTAAAATCATAATCAGAGGCCTTCTTAAAATGTACCAACCTGAATTTCTATATGACGAGGGTTATCAATAAATTTTTCTATTAGTAGTCTATCATCGCCAAAACTAGAAGCAGCTTCTTGAGATGAAAATCTAAAACCATCCCTGTAAAGGAAAACACTAGAACAGTCAAACAAAATAAATAAATGCAGCCTTAATATAAAAGAAAAATAACTATTTATTTGGCTTACTTCTGAACAAGGCAGAAAAAAATCATTTAATGTACAATAATGTTAACTTTAATTGAACTACAACTCTTCCACTTACTTAGTTCTGTGACCTCAAGTGAGTGATTTAACTTCCTTGATCCTAGATTTTATATCTAAACAGGAATACTGATACTCATTTCACCAACTGTTAAAACAGATATTTTAATAAACCATACTAATCATAGAAGGTTCCATTTCTTCAAATCTAATATACCTTAATTCCACTAACAAAAAAATATACAAAAGTACATATGCATTAGAGTCAAAAGTCAGAGGATGCACACAAAAATGTAAATGATCTGGCCAACTGCATAGCTGTTGGATAGAACTACAGCAAATAGGAGGATCCTCAAGAACATTACCCAATATTTTAAATATATCTTTAAATGCAATTGCCTCTTACACAACCACAAAGATCCTTACCATTTTATCATCTTTAAAATTTTTCAAAATTGTTTAAAAAGTACAATTTTTTAAAATATTAAATTAAAAATATGGATTTAATTATTGCTTTTTACTTGTATTCTAAAACTATAACTTAAATCACTGTTATTAAGATATGCTTAATATATTCATATACTATGAAATGAGCCTATCTGCTCAGTCTATTAAAAACTCAAGCTTGCTTACCTAAAACTAACTGACTTCATTATTTTCCATTCATTAATATATTCAAAATAAAAAAATTTTAATTCCTTTTACATGTAATTAATAGTTTCTTAATCTTTAGATTAACTACCTATACTTAACATACAACATTAAAATTTTTCCAATCCTTTCATTTGCTAACACCCCATCTGACAAAATTAGAAAAAATTATCTCATTTGTTTTGTGCTTGAAAAATTCAAAACTGCAAGTAAACACTGATTAGAAGATAAATTTCCAAACATTTCAAGATTCCCATTTCTCAGAGTTCTCAGAAAAGTTAACAGGTTTTCTTACTCCTCCATTATTTCTTTGACTTAGCAGAATGGGGTTTAGATCTCAGATAACTATAAACCTGAAGGAAACTAAAGCACAATGAATGAATCATTGTTTTCAATACCATGTAATCAACATGATTCTCACAAAGGAAAACAATAGCACTTTATAGTTTGTCTCTGCTGTGAGGACGGAAAAGTTTTCATTTTGCATTTAACTAAAGAACACCAAAAGTTAAAAAAGCAAAGTCACATAAATAATAGATCAAATTTGAAAGCATCACCAATATATTTTGGAGCTCATGGAAAACTGCATTAAGAACATAATTTATTACACTGAATTACACATTCATTCAATAAATATTTACTAATCAAGAAACTGGAAAATCAAGATGGCAGAGGAGTGAGTAGAAGTCACACTGACCTCCCCTCAGGACCAACCTGGAATTAACAACTAAGTTTTAGAGAAATCACTTGGAACACAAAACCAAACAATAGCAAGAGAGAAACCTTTTAACCTTGGACAGACAGAAGAATCAGCTTTAGTACAATCTAACTGGTAAGGAATGTGGTACAGACTTGAGAAGGCGAGTGGGGCACCCATGGGCAATAGCACGAGAAGGATATTGAAAGGGCCAGTTGGATCCCCCTGAGAAGAGTGGAGTCTACACCATAAGAGGGGATCTCCAGCCTATAGCACCAGAGCCCAAAAAGTACAGAGATAACAGCCAGCTGTGCAAAGCGGCAGGGTTGCTCTTGCCAGAGACGGGCAGCTAGAGACACAAAGAGCCGTTTAACGGACCAACACATAAATTTTAGTTTCCAACCATTTACCCTGGGTGCCGGCAAAGGCAGGAGTAGAGTGGACTAGAGATGCCTGAGGAGAGACTGGGAAAGGTGGTTTTGGGAAGAGAACTGAGAAGTACCCTGGGGTATCCCGGTGCTGACTCATTTCTCATATAGCAGCAGCCATCTTACTCAAGCAGACCACTCCCCTGAGTGGCAGCAGCATGAGAGGACCCAACAGCGCCATCCCCAGGAGGCTTGGCTTAGGCCCGGTAGTGCTAAAACCTGACAGCTGAGTACAGAGTGGTAGACACAGACAGTAGATCCCTTACTAAAGGGGGTGCAGAGTGGTCTAGACACACTTGAGGAGAGACTGGAGACAGAGGCTTTGCAGAGAGAACTGAGAGAGTAGCCAACGGGATCCTGGTGCTGACTCTTCCCCCATACGGCAGCAGCCGCCTTACTCAAGAAGGCCATTCCCCTGAGCAGCAGCAGCACGAGAGGACCCAATAACCCTGCTCCCCGGAGGGACTTTGACCCGCACTGTGATGTCTCTAAGCCAGCCAGCTGAGTGCAGAGTGACTAGATTAACAGCTAAAGGAGACAGTCACAAACAGTAGATTTGTGGATATCTCAAACAGATTGCCTAAGCTCAAGGCAGGATCAACACCTGACATTATCAAAGGCAGATCCAGAAAGAAAGAAAAAACAGCAGTCTCCAACAACAGAAGTTCATACCAGAAAGACAGGAAATTGAGACAGAGCAATTTAAGAATCAGAAGCAAAAAGGAAGACTCTCACAAGTAATGGGAAGACAGAGAAACACCCCCCAGTAGAAGGGAAAGGAGGAATCCCCAAAAAGAGAACTAAGTGAAATAGAGGCAAGTAAACTATCACATAGTGAGTTCAAAACAATGGTCTAAGGAAGCTCAGTGAGCTCAGAGAGAATTACAAAAAACTAAAGGGAAACTACGAGGAACTGACTGTAAACTATCAGCATGAAAAAGGACATAGAATCTATCAATAAAAGACAAGAGGAAATGAAGAATACATTTTCTGAATTGGAGAACACAGTAGAAAGAATCAAAAGCAGGCTAGATAAAGAAGAGGATCGAATCAGTTAACCAGAGGATAAGATAGAGAAAAGCTCCCAGAAAGAGCAAGAAAATGAAAAAAGACTAAAAAAATGAAGAGGCATTGAGAGAAATGCAGGACAACCTGAAACATAATAATATCCATATAATAGGGATACCAGAAGGAGAAGAAGAGGAGCAAGGGAAAGAGAACCTGTTTGAAAAAGTCATGATGGAAAACTTCCCTCACTGAAGGAGAGAAAAAGTCACACAAGTCCAGGAAGCACAGAGGGTCCCATTCAAGAGGAACCCAATGAGGTCCACTCCAAGACACATCATCATTAAAATGGCAAATATCAAAGACAAACAGAGAATCCTAAGGGAAGCAAGGGAGAAAGAGGTAGTAACATATAAGGGAGCTTCAATATGGCTAGCAGCTGACTTCTCAACAGAGACACTGCAAGCCAGAAGGAACTGGCAAGAAATATTCCAAGTCATGAAAAGCAAAGGACTGCAACCAACACTGCTCTACCCAGCAAGGTTCTCAAAATGGAAGGCAAAGTGAGGAGTCTCCCAGACAAAAGAAGGTTAAAAGAATACAGCTCCACCAAACCAACACTGCAAAATATGCTAAAGGGGCTGCTTTAAGATGCAGAAAAAGTTTGTATGAATACCCAGTTCCTTTCAGAGTTGCCAATACTTGATATTACCAATATTTTTAATACTCATTAATCTGATTGTGACAATAATGTTAATTGTTCCTCTACTATTTGTTGAAACTAAACCTGTTTTAGTATATTTCTTGCCTATTTCTATTATTTTTAAAAACCTTTAAATGAGTTTTTGGTATTCTTTATCCATTTATTAATTAAAGGTTTATAGAACTTCTTTCCCTAAAAAAACCCCAAAAATCCTATTAACCATGTTTTAGATGTGTTGCAAATACTTTTCTATTCCTTGTCCTTTAATTTTTTTATATGTATATTACTATATAGTTAAATGTTTAATGTAGTCATATTGTCAATATTTACTTTATAGCTTCTGGGTTTGAATATTTTACTTCAGGTCATGAAAAACATTAGTTCTATTTTCTTCTAAAACTCCTTAGATTCTACATATTGATTTTTAACTCACTGGAATATTTCTTGTACAATGTGTGAAATAAGGTTCTATATTTGTTTAATTTCAAGTAATAGTGTTCCATGCACCTTATTTGTTGAATAAGCCTTATTTTACCCATTGATTTGAAATATCAATTTAATCATATATTACATTGTTACATACGTTTGTCTCTATAATGCTCATTATATTTCATTGATCTACTTGATTATTTCTGTGCTGGTGTCATGTTGGTTTAATTGCTGAGGCTTTGTAATGGTTTTACATTTTTTAATATTTTATAATTAACTTTGACATTAAAAATATTAATAAAAATCTGAAAGGAAAGAAGGGTGGGAAGGAGGGAGGGAGGGAGGGAGGAATGAAACTCCTACCTTTTGCAAAACATGGATAGAACTGGAGAATATTAAGCTAAGTGAAATAAGCCAACTGATGAAAGACAAATACCATATGATCTCACCTATAAGTGGGCTTTATTCAACAAAATATACCAACGAACAAAATAAACCACAGGCATGGAAACATGGAGCAGACTGAAAGTGACCAGAGGGGATGGGGAAAGAGGATCATGGTGGAATGAAGGGGAAGGGACTAAACAAAGAACATGTATGAATGACCCATGGACATAGACAACAGATTGGGAATTGACTGTGGGAGCGGGGGTTGCGCATGGGATGGGGGAGGGGGGTAAAGTGGTAAAAACTGAGACAACTCTAATAGAATAAACATGATTTATAAATTAAAAAAATTTAAAATTGTATATATATATATAAAAAACAGGAACTGCCTTCCCAGCACCTAAATTCTAGTGGTGGTATTCCAAAATGTAGACGTAAACAATTTGCCATTCACGCCATAACATTTCATTTAAATTATGCAGGGAAAAGAAAGGTTATTATGGAAAAAAATACGAGTCTACTTTCAATAACTGTCATGATTCTCACCCTAATTATAATAAAACAACAAGAAACACTATTTTTTTAAAAACCTTTCAGAT